AGTAGTAATAATCATTTGGATCAGCGCCATCTAGCGGTCGTGATTTTTTTGGCCAAAAATTGCTTCTGAAATTCTGAAGGAGAGCTTTAGGCAGTTTAGCCCTAGAGCCATTTAATTACTTATAAACCAGCCGCAACTTTTGAGATAGATACAAAATAAATAATTAACGATTTTTGTGCTACTTGCGGCAAGCTTGCAATGTATTTTACACACGAATATTGACCTCCTATATATTTATACTTTCGGGTAATAGATAAATTGTAAACTTGACGCAAACAGCACAGAAAATGTTGAACTTTTATTTTATATCTGCAAAATGAGTTGCGGCTGGTTTATAATTAATTAAATGGCTCTAAGCGCTAATGCTGTGAGTCAAAAGTTTAGGGCCACTTTTTAGTTCAAAAATCCGCAACGCTAGATGGCGCTGATCCAAATAATTATTACTATAACTCATAGTAGAGCCATGTAATCAATTATAAACCAGCCGCAATTAATCTCATGGATAGACAATAAAAAGTTAACATTGTCTGCGCTATTTGCGGCAAGCCTTCTACTCGTGTATTTTAGATGTATAACATTTACACGCCTAGGTGGAGTTAAGGCAGTCGAGCAACTTTAAGTCTTTAACGCGCTTATGACACATACATACATACATACACTCGAAGAACTGTCGCTTCTCAGAGAGACACTGAGACACATCTGCATGCTCTTCACATTCGTCTCTTTTCCATATCGTACCATTCTTTTTCCCCTGTCTCCCTCTCTTCTCACAACACTTAGTTTTTTTTTTTGTTCCGTCACGTCGCGTCTTTTCTCATTCATATGTGCACCTCGTACTTATATGGCACGGCACGTCTCGCGACACATACGCATCTACAAGTACAAAAATGACCACGTGCGAGAAAATTGCAACGAGAGAGAAGCACTCGACACTTATATTATAAAAGAGAAAAATTATACTTGCATTTATATTTTATGGTTTCTTTTTTTTTATTTTTCCATTGGCAAAATATACTCTTGTAAATTAGTCCTGCCGACGGTGCAACGTTTCATGTACATGTATATGCGTGTGCACACGCGTTTATTTGCATAATTTGTATGTGTATATATACCGAAGCTAACACTCTCATCGTACTATATTACGCGTGACATGAATGCCTGTCGGTGATACGCTTAATTTGTCCGGCATAAGTATACGTATATACATTGCCATAAGTCGCTCTTGTCATTTTTTGTAATGGCACCAAGTGGTTATAATGGGAGTTTTTATTTATTTATTGATTTTTAAAAATTTTTATCTTTAGAAGTTTGTCAGAATATTCTAACTATTGTAATGATTGCCAAAAATTACTAAAATTTGATACTTTCTCGAATGNTAGTAATAATTATTTGGATCAGCGCCATCTAGCGTTAGGGATTTTTGAACTAAAAAGTGGCCCTAAACTTTTGACCCACAGCATTAGCGCTTAGAGCCATTTAACCAATTATAAACCAGCCGCAACTCATTTTGTAGCTATAAAATGAAAAAATAACGATATATGTGTTTTTGGCGGCAAGTTAACAATCTATCTTTTACTCGAAAATTTATCTTCAAAAGTATAGATACATAGGAGGTCAATTTTTTGGTAGAAAATATATTGTTAATTTGCCGCCAAAAACACGCATATCGTTATTTTTTCATTTTATAGCTAAAAGATAAGTTGCGGCTGGTTTATAACTGGCTAAATGGCTCTAAGCGCTAATGCTGTGAGTCAAAAGTTTAGGGCCACTTTTTAGTTCAAAAATCTCTAACGCTAGATGGCGCTGATCCAAATAATTATTACAACTTACAGTAGAGCCATGCAATCAATTATAAACCAGCCGCAACTAACCTTGTGGATAGACAATAAAAAGTTAACGTTGTCTGTGCTATTTGCGGCAAGTATACAATGTATCTTTTACCTGTGAATCGACCTCCAAAACCATAAATGTTCTACTTATCTTATTCGGCTTATAAAATCGACTACTTAGTTGTTATTACTATAAGTACTACTATTTTACTATTACTACTATTAATGATTTTTGTTTACACAAGTGTGCCTTGTGTAGGGGGGGGGGACAAGGATCAAGATGACAATTGCATTGCACACACGTTTAATTGACTGACAAGAGATATCTCACGTTGTATTTAACCTGTTGTTATTATCTATGAGTAACGTGTTTGAATAAAGCAAATATAATATGAGAATGACAATGTTTTTGCGTAGCTCTGTGAAAAATTATGTTGGTGGGCATGCCATAGCAAACGTTTACTTCAAACTAAACATACATATTTAAACACTACTGTTGTGATGATAATCAGGAAATGAAAAACATCACGAGGTACCACACGAATTAATGTACTTTAAAAGGATGC